TTCTTAATAGTATTTTTCTCATATTCTCTAAAACTGTTGGGTCTTAGTTACTTTATTGCCTTACTTAGGGTGTTAACGATTAAATACACGCACACACACACACACACACATATATATATATATATATATATATATATATATATAAAAATTATTTATTTAAAAATATGATTCCAACACGCTACATAAGCGTTCTCATGTTTCAAAACAAGAGCCGAAAACTTCAATATAATTATTGAATTAAATTGAATTAAAGTACTAAGCTCCGTTCCATCTTCAAAATTTCGCTTGAAGATGGAACAGATCTTAGTACTTTAATTCAAATAATTATATTGCAGTTTTCGGCTCTTGTTTTGAAACATGAGAACTCTTATGTAGCGTGTTGGAATCATATTCTTAAATAAATAATTATATTTATGCTCTACTTTTATATCGAGCACTATTTTTAAAAAATAATAACAAAAATACTAAAGAACTTTGGATTATTTACCTAACGAGTTCTTTCCTATTTTCTATATATTTTTCATATATATATATATATATATATATATATATATATATATATATATATATATATATATATATCATTTCACCTTTATATTTCATGATTATATATATATATATTTAATGATTTCCTCCAAGTAAGGCAATAAAGTAACTAAGACCCAAGTGTGTTAGGGAGTATTAGAAAAATACTGTTAAAAAGCGAGAATAATAAATGAACAAGAATTAAGAAGACAGTAGTTAACGATTGATATTATCAATATATATATATATAGTGGACTTGTCCCGAACACGAACTGCGAGTGGACTTGTCCCGAACACCTACAGTTCCGCCATATGCGAACATCTTTTAAATAGCAGAGATTGTGCCGCCAAATTTAGTGTCGACTGGTTCACAGTGTTGGCCCGGTCACACTCTGTATTTCATCTGAAGGTTCTGGAGGCACTTTACATCGGGTCCCGCAAGCCTTCTTTGTGCAAACAACGTGAGTGTTTGCTGGGACTCGCTGTCATCTGCCTCTAGTTCCTTCTTGCATATATACGAACATATATATATACATATATATATATATATATGTGTGTTTTAATTTTTTTTTTTTTTTTTCCCACCTGTTCTTACTGTACATTTCTCTGTTTTAATTTTCAATCTCCCGTGGAAGCCTGACGAGCGGGAGCGAAACCGGTTGCTTCCCCCCCCTTGTTGTTGAGTTTTTTTTTTTTTTTTATTATTTAATACTTTTTAATATGTCTTGTAATATTAAATTTTATACTTTTATTTCGATCATTAAATTTTGTACCTACAAAAATATCTTTAAATATATATATATATATATATATATATATATATATATATATATATATATATATATATATATACACACACAGATACATGTACGATTAAACATTTTGACATGTTGTGTTTGTTTATTTTCAATAATATCCTTTCGTAATCACGTTTAAACTTTGTTATTTCATCATGCAACCTCCCAAGGGGCATTTAAATTGATACGTAATGTTGGTTTTCTGCAATACATCAATTGGTGGGGGAGGAGATATTACGGCCGATAAAGTTGGTGATGAAAATGTTCTCGGAAAGAGTGTGTCTGTAGAAAAGACAAAATGAATAAAAAGAGAAAAGAGGCAAAACAACTATTAGCCGACGCGTTTCGTCCACTGAGTGACTCTACTTTATCAAGGGAATAAAATTCCATCTGTGGACGAAAACGCGTTGGCGAATTAGAGTTTTTCCTCTTGTCTTTTCTCTCTCTCTCTCTCTCTCTCTCTCTATATATATATATATATATATATATATATATATATATATATATATATATGCATGTTTCATTAAAACCGAAACATACTAGGGATAAAGGAAGACTTAATAATAAAAGGCAACACTTAATATTAACTGCGAACACGGCCACAACATGATGTGTTCGGAAAATGAAACATCTCTATAAAAAAAAAACATACACACAACGCATAGAACCAGTTATATTGAAAAATAAAATAAAATCATATTTGATAATGGCTAAATGTATAGCCGAAAGCGGTCGGAATTATAAAACATTTAGACAGTTTCTACACACTCTGTGTCCCAAAAAGAAAATCCTTTTTCGAACACAAGAAAAATTAAATAAAAAGCTTAATCTTGTATGCATAAATGAAGGATTGCTTCCTATATATATATATATATATATATATATATATATATATATATATATATATATAAAAAACTTTGTATGGAAATGAGTTTGTGACCCAGGGTTTCACGCTTTTGCGAACATCAGACAAACTGGTCTATTTTTTTTAAATTGGATGCATTTATTCTTGTTTCACTATATTTGTTGGCGGGAGAGCAAATTTATTTCTGTGCTTGTTCGCAAAAGCATGAAACCCAGGGTTACAAACTCACTTCCATACAACTGAATATGTTAGTTCTATCACTGATATTGAGCCCTTTCCACTAAGTACTGCGCTTATAAAATAATATAGATACGTACATATATATATATATATATATATATATATATAATATACACGGATCAAGCACTAATATTACATAGTTATAATTTATTACATTGGAATCGTAATCACGTGACTACGATTCTAATGTAATAAATTATAACCATGGAATATTAGTGTTTGAGCCTTTTATATTATATTCTTGCTCTGTCTTGTACATAGAGCACTACCTGGATTTTATCCTCTTGGAAATATATATATATATATATATATATATATATGTATGTATGGGTGTTAAAACTCCGTTTTGAATATCTATACTCAACGCAGCCGTTTTAATATAAAATTTTCTCTTTATCATTTCACAATCTATTCAATATATTCCTCATCGATATTTTGTATTTTATCATACGCCATTTCCCTGTTTAATTTGATCGTTTCGTCAAGATACGCCGTTGTCTTATAAGAACGCCGCCATCTTGTTTCTGTACATCTCGGAAATTCATTTTATCAATTTAGCCACAAGTATGACTAAATCTTATGTTGTCTGATCTATCGACAATACAAATTTAAAGTGAATTATTGCCAAGGGTTATAGATATTAAATTAATCTTAGCTCCATAATTTGAAAATTTAATATACAAATACAAATACTCGCGAATAATAAATATAAGATATAACCTTATCTTCTTCCCTTCGTCGATCAGCACATGAGCGTTCATGGATCTCCACATCATCCTATCTCTCGTGGCACTTCCTATCTTTTTGTCAAACCTCACGTCACTTTTCCGCCATCCATTAACTCAAGCTTGTCAGGTATGTGGCTCGCTGCCTTCCGCTGCCTCTTTTGCCATCGATATGCCATGTCATGTTTTCCAAGTCCTTTTATGTTTCTAAGAAATTTGTTACTTGTTTCTCTTTCTCATTCTAAACTAGCAGTAAAGCGCGACGTTGCCCGGGAGTACACTTCCTCTGAGTGGAAGGTCATAACCGCCATATTCATTTTGTACACGCATGTAAGGCTGAAGTCTAGTAGAACTGATGACCACGCACGTAAAAAACGTAATGTACACAAGTTGTCGGTATTCATCAGCACAACGGAAGAAAAAATTGCAAGGCTTAAAAGGAAGCAATGGAGAGCCATGGTAGCATCAGCCGTTTGCTATGACTAAGACACCTTCAATTAAAAGTTGTCAAGTTCAATACGAACACGGGCCTTAGGAAGTTTTTGGTAAGTTGTAGCAGATGGCTTTGTATTTCAATGGGATGGTTTTATTATCCCGGAGTTCAAGACATTACATGAAACCCTGTGTTAATTGCAACGTAGTAAAACGCAATAGCGTAAAACGTAGATGCGTCTTTTGCCCAAAAGATGGCGCTGCCACTACCGTAAACAGAACCACATAACTTAAATCCAACTTTTTTCTAACTTTGCTACCGCCATTAATTCTGACATATAAAAAGTGCCTATATCTGCTTGTGTGCAGTGAACGCTTATAATTACACACGTGCGCGTCTGATCAAAAATGAAAAATCGATAATATTGATTTAAATATTGACTTAAATCAATTTTTGGCACCGTCAAAACCTCCGCAGGACCATTAGCAGTAACTGTGTCAAATTTGGTAGAAATTGGTTGAAAAATGTAGGAGATCCGATCAACATATAAACCAGGGGTCGGCAACTCATTCTACCCCACGGGCCGGATCGTGTTATAATGACGGGTCGCGGGCCGGACGAAGGCCATTAATGAAAAATTAAGGAAAATTACATATGCAGACCCCTGTCAACCTAAATATTTAAAACCACAATGAAAATAAACATTGAGAAATCAGAAAAAACAAAAGAAAATCTAAAATTAAAAAACACCTAACAAAAATTACTTTTCCTCAAGGAACGTCAAAATACTTCAAAGTGAAAAAAATCAACCGAAGTGAAATGGATGAAATTATGACGTGTAGGTTTGAAACTGTTATTGAAAATTGTTCCACAAACGAACCACACACACATCAAACAAAAACGAAGCGCATATACTCATACATACGAGTACAAATAGTTGCAAACATATACACCTACGTGCGTACACATGCGGTATCATCCACACATTCATGAGGCATGTATGTATAATGCGCGTATGTTTAACTGTCTTTAGATTGCTGCTACCTCGCATGTCAGTCCCTCCCTGGCCTCTTTCACTTTATCGTTCCTTTCGCTTCTGTTATCTTTCAATGTAGCCAAGGGTCATAACAAATATGTATCCATTATTTGACATTAAACGTAGGCAACGCAACTTGGTAAAATAAGTCTCATGAAAGATAACTGGCAGATAGTCTAATATTTTTAGTGCACTGAGATGTGTAGACATTCTATGGAAAATGACATATAACAAATTTTATCTGAAGGTCGTCTCTCATGTTAAAAATACAGTCATTGGTAATCAGGCTCGCGGGTCGGTCAAAATGACTTCGCGGGCCGGTCAAAATGCCGTAGGTTGCCGACTCTTGATATAAACAAACACACACACATTCTGCATTTTATAGATAGATAGATAGATAGATAGATAGATAGATAGATAGATAGATAGATAGATAGATTGCCTTTAATTAAGAATGAAGAGAGAAACAAATATTGCCAACATAACAATATACCTTTTTTTTTAAGAATTGTTACCAACACCTGCCTACTTTGTATTTTATTATCTATTGTACTAATTGAGGGTATTTGCAATTTTGCTGCTTCTAGTAACAAAAACTTTTGAGCTAAGAGAAAAATTTCTGAAATGTATAGTTTAATACAATACGACCCCACCTTTCTTACCTTCAAGTTGCGTTCAAAATTTCTCGTTTTATAGAAAAGGAAATATTTATCATACTATGCAAATGAAAACATTTTTCTTTTGCATAGTACGAGAAATTCTGAATGAAAATAAGTACATGTTCTCAAAGCTATCAAAATAGAACCAGCTGAGTGGAAAAACAATTTTAGGAAAGAAAAAAACTAAAAAAAAAAAAAAGTTTTGTTGACTACTGAAATATCACTGGTTTGCTTTATATATAAAATCTATTTTTCATTCAGTGACACAGTGGAGTAGTTGCATCCCGTCTGTCATCCAATGGGATAACAGTATATATTAAAACCCTTTTCTGATTAAAGTAAACACTGACTTTATAACAGTCGTCTGTGAAAGGAAGATATGCAAGAAAGAAATCTTTTATAGTATTACATGCTCAAATGTATTAGTCATTCATCCAGAGAGTGATTTTCTAAGCGCTGCTTAGATGTGGCACAAGGCCGGAAGTATGGAGCATCCAGTGAGGATCGAACTCACTACTCAGTCATAACTGTTCTAGTGAGACAAGCTTGCTAGCCATTACACCACCTCGAGGTGCCCTAGTCATTCATCCTGATAAGTTTGAGCATAATTTCAACTTAAAAAAAATTCAGTTTGAATTAAAAGACTGAAAGCTATTAAAATCAGGACCATCAGAATCCGAGTGGAAAAACAAGTTCTAGGGAAAAACAACTTTTCTTGACTATTGAAATATCACTGGTTTGCCTTATATATAAAATCTATTTTCATTCAGTGGCACAGTGAAATAGTTGCATCCCTTCCGTTGTCCAATGGGCTAACGTATGTCGTATGGGTCACAGAAAAAACCCTTTGTCTTATTCAGCTAGAAAAAAAACAGGTTAAAATCGATTTTTTTTTGCCAACCTCACTGTCATTTCAACTGAGCAACGGTGAGAGGAAAAAGATCATTCATTGGTATCTACATTCATATTCTGGCTTCCAGCTACAAAGTTCATTCAAGAACCATGAAGAGAATGGTGAGTAACTTTTGAAAGAGGAAAACAGGATCAGAAGGTCACAACAGAGAGAGGGGTCATCATTTCATCTTAGAGCTAAAGAGATCAATTAGAAAAGATCCAACTTAATCTATAAAACGTTTGGCACATGAGAGAGGAGGTTCAGCTATGAGAGTCCAAAGTGTAGTGAAAAAAGACTTGAAAATAAAATCGTAAGTGAAATCTTGTTACTCCAGAACAGAAAGTTAGAATGTTAGAGAGAGCAAAGATCATCCTGAATAAGTTGGAAAATGATTATGGAATATATATATATATATATATATATATATATATATATATATATATATATATTTGAACTTGATTTCAATACTTCATGAGCTTTAGATCCTTATGATTAATTAATCATCTCATTTGCGTTTATAACCTATTTCAACACGATTCTTCTGTTAAGCCAATGTAGAGTCCAATAATGTTATAAAAGAATTCCAGTAAGATATCTTTAATCATTTCTAAGATACAACGGTTTGAAGCTTAATCTAACGATTGGACAATTTTGTTTTTACACGTTTTGGACAATTTTGCTGTTTTGCAGTTCCTAGTAATATTTTTTAAAATAAAATCTATATTTCTATTATATTATATTATATTATGTTTCAGCCCCAAACGAGCAATGGTGAGAGGAAACAGATAATTCGGGACTTCAGTAACGGTGCCAACATTCATACATTGCTTCCAACTTCAAAGTTCATTCAAGAACCATAGAGAGAACGATGAATAACTTTTAAAAAAGAGAGAACAGTAGAGAGGAAAACTGGATCAGGAGGTCACACCAGGAAGAGGGATCATTATTTCAAATTAGACCTAAACAGATCAATTAGAAAAGATCCAACTCAATCCATAAGACATTTGACACTTGAGAGAGGAGTTTTAGCTATTACAGTCCAAAGAGCAGTGAAAAAAGACTTGAAAATGAAATTGTACGTAAAACCCCTGTGACACCTTTTGTTACTCCAAAACAGAAGGTTAGAAGGTTAGAGGTGAAAGATCATCTTGAGTCAGTTGGAAAATTATCCAGGAATAATATATATATATATATGAACTTCATATCAATCCTTCATGAGCTTCCCATCCTTAGCTATGATTAATTAATGATGAACATGTCATTTTCATTTATGATCGATTTCATCATCATTCTTCTTTTAAGCTTGTAAAGTAATTATACATATTCTTATTGTTCAAAGTAGAGTTCAATAGTGTTATAAAACCTCGAGGAATTTCATAGTTTATTTTGTTCAGGTTAGGTTTCAACTGATTTATGTATATGGCTTCAAGAATTTTTAGTTTTTGTTTATTGTTTTCATGTTTAAGTACACTTGTGTTTTCAACAAGGATTTTCCGGAATAACCTACGAAATCTCCACAAATATTCTTAAATGCCTATAATTAATAACAGAAGACATTGGGTTATAATAAGGCTTCCCATACTTAATATTTCTCGTTTTCATTCTCGCGATGTCATGGGTGACGTCACAACTTGCGATGCAATTTTCGCTTCCGCATCTCGTATACACAAGGTTGCTGTTGCTTAAAAATTTTCATGCAACAAAAACATTATTGTTTTGTCCGTGTATCGTTTGATATATTGAAATGTAATTGTCATCTTTGATAATGGCTTATGTAAGCCGAAAGCTTCGATTGGATTTAAACATGTATCAATATGGTGATTTCCTTTCGTCTTTCAATGATAATGTGATTAAGCTTATCAGACAATATGAAAGGAACTTAAAATAAACTTTTCTATATTATTTAATGAAACATGCATTAATATATATATATCAGTCTCTTCATATCTATTTAAATCTCATTTTCGTTCACTTCGTATCAATCTATTTATCTATCTCTTTCTTTGTCTATCTAACTATATATATGCGCTCGCGCGTGTGTGTGTGTGTGTGTGTGTGTGTGTGTGTCAGTGTGTGTTTGTTTTCCTGCATGTTTAAGTATTTTAGCTGTTATTTTCAGTCACTTCAGATCTATCTATCTTTCTATTTATCTACCTATCAATCTCTCTATCTATTATAATGTTTCTTACATTTTTCTTTGAGACAATAATGACTACCAAATTAGAGGTGCAGAGTGTTACAGGGAGTTAAAGAGAATAAGAAGACTTTAAGTGAGGAAAGGACAATAAAGGAACAGAGTTCATGAAGAAAGAAGAAGGCGATAAAGCCACTAAGACACAATGGTTTACTGTCAATGAAAGAGAATGAAAAGACTTTACTGAGTAGACATGTGGAAATGGCCAATAAAGGAACATTATTCAGGGTGACAGAAGATGGCAATAATGCCACTAAGACACAAGGGCTTACTGGCAGTGAAAGAGAATGAGAAGTAAAAGGACAATTAAGGAACATAGTTCAGGATGAGAGAAGATGACAATAATGCCACTAAGCATTTTACTGTTTACTGGCAATGAAATAGAATGTGAAGACTTTAGTGAGGAAACGTGAGGCAAAGGACAATAAAGGAGGAGGATTCAGGAAGACAGAAAATTGCGATTGACATTGCATTTAACTTAAAGATTGTAAGTGGCAGGAAATCGAAAGACAAAAATTCCGAGAAAAGAAACTATTAGAATAGAACTGACGGCTGCAACTATATATATATATATATATATATATATATAATGCTTTATTTTCTATATTTTTTGCTACACGCGTTTCCGGTTTTGAGACATTCATCAGTCGAAGAATGGTTATTTCCACATGATATTTAAAGGAATTAATTTTTTCTTACATTTTTTATATTTAACCATTCTTTTCCTGATGAAAATCACAAGGCCTGAAACCCATGTAGCAAAATATATGGAAAATAAAATATAATATATTAAGAAAAAATCCACATTATGAGCAAAAACGTTTGCGGCTTCTTTTTTCTCTTTACAATATATACTTTCAATCGTTGGAACAACTATAATCTCTCTCTAATACGTTATTGGCATTGTGATCAAAATTGAGGTTCAACTGATCGATGTTTACGTTGGGTTTGAAATTACTTTAATACACCAACAAGACAACATGAACTTTTGAATTTTGATCACAGCACCTTATTTGAAAACTGAAAAAATACAATAAAAGATTAAACAGACACTCCTTGTCGGTTCGTTGAATCATGCTTATTTGGATATCGTTTTTTATTCATTTCACCCCTAGCAAGGCAATAAAGCCACTACGACGCACGGGGTTACAGAGTGCAAAAGATTATAATAAAAATAAAGACATTATTCCGGAGAATAATAAAAGAACAAGAATTTTAAAAAAATAACAGAATATAATGGACGCATTTAAATTATTGAAGATCAAAGTTGTCTTGAAATCAAGAAGCTGAAAGAGTATTCCACAAGCAAGAAGTGTGAGAGAAGGAATTGTTAACATAGAACTTACGGTTTTGATGTGACCTAACTGCCAACCTACTACTGCGCTTAAATTCGTAAAGGAGAGGTACCACGGAAGATGTTTCATCAGAACAATTACCATGAAAATTAATTTGTACTTTTAAAATATTTATAGAAAAAGGCACAGAGAAACAACTTTATGACAGTTGGAAAGTGACTGAAGCCGAGGTGACGGCTCGGAGCCGATAACATTGCAGATTCTTCTTTGGGTTTTGTCAAGAATCTCTATATAAATAGCAGAAGGACCTGACTGGATGTCGCTGCAGTATTCAATGCATGGACGGATGGTAGATTTATAAATGTGTAAGATAGATTAAGATAGAAATTGTCTAACACG